AAAACACAGGATTGTGTTCAAATTGCATAGCTAGCTACTGATAAGAACCAGCCATGGCCTTGGATTTCTGAGTTTGCTAGGTACCCTGTCTTCCTGTGACCTGGCTAGTGAGTGACCTTCTGAAAAGACATAATTTGGTGATAAGGGACTTCCAGTGATACCCATCTCTGATTCAGAATATTCATCTATGAATCTTAGAGGCTCATGACAATGAAGACGCAGTCAGAGAACTCTCAATTTTGCTTCTTTGATGACAGCATCATGATATGACACTGTGAGTGGGACACAGTGTGGGTGGGAGATGAAAAGGAAGGGCTGGAAGAGGCAATTGGGAAGGTATTATTGCTCCCTCTCCCCAAAATTCTTTACGCACTTAAGAAAACATTGAGAGAACAGAACACCAAGGACTTGAAACCCAAAGTACTTGCTGTGCCTGTGGCCCATGACAAGCAGATTTTGAGAACCAGATAAGTAAGAACAAAAGAGGTGGGAACCGGGGAGGACTGCAGAAATGCTCAGACAAGGGTGATTCTATTGGTTTTGGAGGGAAGATTATCAAGCTGTATGTGGACAGAGCTTTGGAATATCTCTATTAATATCCAAAACAAGGCTCAAACTCCTAAGCAGGATACTCCTCACCACCTCTTGCCATACCAAATAGGTAAATAATACCCATACCTATTTGTTAACCACTCATTCAGCAAAGAGTTATTAAGCACCTACTACCTCCAGCCAATAGGTGTTAGAGTCTGTAAACAAGTCAGGATGGCGCCTGGCAAATGTTAGAGTCTGTAAACAAGTCTGGATGGCGCCTGGCATTTTGCCAGAGGGAGTGGTTTGTGAAGTAATGCCAGCGAGCCATTAAGTGTGGAGATTCCTTATTGGTTGACTGATGTACCGAGTTTATGCTAATTAAGATAAGCTGTGTGGAATGTATATATACCGCTCTGGTTCTACAATAAACGGCTCCTGCTGTATCAATCTACACAATTCCCCCCCCCCCCCCCGCCATTTTGCTGCAGCCGGACTGTGGCAAATAGGTAAATAAGTATATGTATGGTATGTTAGATGACTCAATCTCCCTACTGCCCCCCCCCCAGAAATGGAAATTGAACCTAGGGGCCTTTACCCCTGAGCTACAGACTGGCCTCAAATGTAAAATCCTGCTTTAGCCTCCCACGTAACTGGGATTACAGGAATGGGCCAAAATGAATTGATTAATTCATTTATTCTGATGTGCTGGCCTGAGCATGCAAAGAAAAGTATTAGTTATTTTTCCGGCTCACTGCCCTGGGGCCTAGCTTGCAGTCTTTTCCCTTCTTGGCACTTTGAGTGAGGGTTTTTATGTCCAGAACAGTCTTTGGCCTTTCATGATGGAGAACTGGGAGAATACTGGGAGGCAGGAAGAGAAGCCATTAAAGGAACATGGAGGTCAAGACTATAGGAGTTTCTTACTGTTTCTAAGACAGGTCTGTGTTGTGGAGGTTGGTCTTGGACTCCTGAGCTCAAGCAGTATGCATATTTCAACGTCTCTCCTGAGTGCTGCGAATATGGGGGCATGATTCAATGACACCTGGTTCAAGGAGGTGGTTTTTTGTTTGTTTGTTTTTGTACCAGAAATTGAACCCAGGCATACTAAAGTACTCAGCCATATTCCTTTTTATTTTTTATTTTGAGACAGGATCTTGCTAAGTTACTTAGGACCTCACCACGTTGCCCAAGCTGACCTCAAACTTTTAATCCTCCTGCCTCAATCTCCAGTCACTGGGATTACAGGAGCGCACCACCGTACCTGGTGAGGAGCAGTTTTGTTTTTTTTTTTAAAGGCTCCCATGTGTGAGAAAACCTGATGATGGATGGAAAAGAAAGCAAGGGACTTTTTCCAGGAGAATAACTTCCAAGTCTATATTTCCTTCTAGATGTTAACAGTTAGAAGCAATGACTTTGCATTATTTTTGATTGCATGGATGTTGGTTCTGACCTCCATCTGGGGTCATGACTTTATATGCTATTTACATTCATTCATTAGACAAATATTCATGGAGCAGATTGTATATGCAGTCATCATGCAGGACCCAACAAAACGGACCTGGTTCTTGCTCTCCTGAAGCTTGAAAATAATAAATAAAAAATATTGGGGGCTGGGGATGTGGCTCAAGTGGTTGCGTGCTCGCCTGGCATGCTCGCGGCTCTGGGTTCAATCCTCAGCACCACATACAAATAAAATAAAGATGTTGTGTCCGCCTAAAACTAAAAAATAAATATTAAAAAATTCTATCTCTCTCTCTCTTTAAAAAAAATGAATTGTGGTTTGTGTTTTGAAGCAGCGCAGTGCCATGAGAGAGTTAATTGGGGAAACAGTGTTATGTTTTGGGGAACACATCTTGCACCTCACACTTCAAGGTCTTTGTTCTCACTCTTAATGCTGAAGTATTTTTTTTAACTGTACCCTGTCAAAATCTTAGTACTATACTAAAAAGCTCAAATGTCACCTTCAAGATGTCATTTTAGTCCCCCATTTAGGTTATTCCCTCCTGACACATTGCTTGCAAGTCTATTATAATGTACAATTCATTCTGCCAATATGTACCTATTGTAGAGGGACTAACTGTTCCAGTTTTCATGCTATTGAAGGGTTTTGTGGAATGCAGAATTCTTGCCTGGACACAGTGCTAACACCTAGAAAGTCCCAGGTAAACAGGAGAGAGATAATAGTCACCCTAAGCCATGGACAAGCCCTTTATATCCAATGCTCAAAGGAGGAAGGAGGACACATCTTCTCTCTATTCATGCTATGACTTGAACTTAGAAATAATGGTACTATTGGCAGATACAGTGGTATATACCTGTAATCCCAGTGACTTGAGAGGCTGAAGCAGAGGATCACAAGTTTGAGGACAGCTGGAGAACTTAGAGAGGTCCTGAGCAATTTAGTGAGATTCTGCCTCAAAATAAAAAGTAAAATAAAAAAGGGCTGGGGAGCCAGGTGCAGTGGTGGTGGTGCATGCCTATAATCCCAGTGGCTCAGGAGGATGAGACAGGAGGATTGTGAGTTCAAAGCCAGCCTCAGCAAAAGTGAGGGGCTAAACAACTCAATGAGACCCTGTCTCTAAATTAAAAAAAAAATACAAAATAGGACTGGGGATGGGGCTCAGTGGTCGGGTGCCCCTGAGTTCAATCCCCAGTACCACAAAACAAACAAACAACAACAACAAAATGGGGCTGGAGATATAGCTCAATGGTAAAGAACTCCTTGGTTCAATTCCTAATACCAAAAACAACAACAACAACAAAAACGCCACACACAAAAATCCCAATTGTAATACTAACAACAACAATAATAAAAATTTAAACTTGAGTGCCAAGCAACTTACAAAAAACAAATGAGGTTAAGTAATTTTCCTTTAGTAGGGAAATTAAGGGTAAACCAGTTAAGCCAGGATGAGAAGGTGGGACCAAAGAGAAGGATTTAATTTCCATTTATGTTAGCACAATGCTTCTCAAACTTTTTTGATCTCATGATCCTTTTATAGTCTCAAAAATTATGAGGGCCCCCCCAAAACGTTTATGTGGGCTCATTTATTGACAGTAATCATTAGGAATTAATTCTGAAAACGAAAAAATTTATTTATTTATTTATTTATTTTTTGGTACTGGGGATTGAACTCAAGGTCACTGTACTACTGAGGTACATCCCCAGCCCTTTTTGTTTTTTTGAGACAGGCTCTTCTTAAATTGTTTAGGGCCTCAGTAAATCACTGAGGCTGTACTTGAACATGAAATCCTCCTGCCTTACCCTGCCCAGTGGCTGGGATTACAGGCATGAGCCACCACTTCTGCCAATTAATGTTGAAACATAATGCCAATCATTATGTTTCAACATTAATTCACATTAATAATACATTTTTTTTGGGGGGGGGCACTTAAACACTGAGATACATCCCAGCCCTTTTTTACTTTTAGTTGTCAATGGACCTTTATTTTATTTATTTATATGTGGTGCTGGGAATCGAACCCAGTGTCTCACACATGCGAGGCAAGCACTCTGCCACTGAGCCACCACCCCAGCCCCCATTTTGTATTTTTTGTTTTGAGACAGGGGCTCGCTAAGTTGCTGAGGCTGGCTTTGAACTTGCGATCCTCCTGTCTTAGCCTCCTGAGGCTAACAATACATTTTATTTTCTAATTTGTTCTAAGAAAGTAGATATACTGTACACATATGGAGCACAACTCCTCATTCCTCTGGCTGTACATGGTGCATGGTCACTCCAGTAGTGTAATCATACACGTACACAGGGTCATAAGGTCTTTCTCATTCTACAGTCCTTCCTATCCCCACAGCTCCGCCCCTCCCCTCTACACAACCCGAAGTTCCTTCATTCTTCCCCATAATAATATATTTTAAATGAATAATAACTTTATTTTCCAATACTAAATATGTTAGCTAAAAGTATGACAAACCTTTTGTTTTGTTGCATGAAGCCTCCAAAAAACTCCACTGTGCATTGGTGCGGTAAGACTATGAAAATTGTTTTTCCTTCAGAGACCCCCAGAAAAGGTCTTGAAGACCCTGCTGTAGTTTTTGAAACAATAAATCACGCAGTCTTTTCAAAACCTTAATGACAGGCATCAGAAAAAAACCGGTATCTTCGGTTTGTACCAATGTTGGGTATTGGTTTGTAGACTGGATCTGGGAGAATGCCCCAAGCACCAGCGAGAAAAGTAGTAAAACCAAGGGGCTCCTCTGCCTGGGTTACCCGCTCTGCGCCCGACCTTGGACTACAATTCCCGGCAGGGCTCGCGGCAGGGGCGTGTCCTAAGCCTCGGCCGGGGGGGCGTGGGTGACGCAAGCTGATGACGGAAACGAGTGGGGTGTGCTTATTTTGGGCAGTTTAGTGCCACAATTGGAGGAGACGGAAGAAGGGGCGGAGCCTGTGTTTGGGTCAGCCAATGGTTTGCCATCAGGCGGAAGAGGGGAACGGGGCGTGGCCAGGCCGACTAGTAGGCAGCGTGGGATTTGGGGGAAGAGGGATTAGAGTGTGGGGGTGTCTGTTTTGCGTCCACCGTGGCTGGGAGAGGGAGATGGCAGCTCGGTGGAGCAGCGAGAATGTGGTGGTGGAGTTCCGCGATTCCCAGGTGAGCTGGCGGGTGGCTAATGGAGCCGTCTGGGCATGCGCCCTCCTGGGTTCCCTTCCCCCACACTGCTGCACCTGCGGAGACCCCTGGCCCTGTCGGGGGAGATGGGCTGCGGGGTGCTCTGGAGCTGTCAGACTCGAGCGGGCGAGGGGAGACTTGATGACCGTTGCGGGCGGTTGGGATGGGCACTGACGGGATTCCCCACGGGCTTCTGGCGAGTGGGGACTGCCTTGGGACACTGAGGCTGAGATTGCGCGCGAGTGAGTGGGAGGCTTCCCACGCGCAGGGTGGTTTGCTAGGAGGTGTCCGCTTCCCTGGTCCAGGGCCTCTCTCGGTGACTTCGGCCAAGTTGCAGAACTTCTCTGAGCCTCAGCTGCGCAGACTTAGCCCTGCCTCACAGTATTTTTGGGTGGATTTGATGAAATACTGCTTGTAAAGTGCATGCTCTAGTAATGGAAAATAGCGTGTAGTGGACAGAAGTGTACACATACACGTATTGCTCGGGTTCACGAATCTTTACACAGTCTTTACGTGGTCATTACCCGTTGCACCGACAGTTTTCTTACCTGTAGAAGGGATCATCATATTTACCTCACAGGGTGGGCGTGAGGATTTTATGGGTTGCACCTTTAGAAAGTGTGGCAGAGTGACAGGCACATGGCAAGCCTCAAGAGACGTCAGCACTTACTGAGGAGTTTTACTACTATTCTATAACGTGCCTTCTATATGCCAAGTCTTGTGCTAAGTGCTTTATGTATATATGTGTCATCCCTTTATTCCAAAAGGAGAGCTGATGCCTGTTTGGCTAAGGCTTCGCAAAATATGGCAGATGTCATTGAAATTTGGACCCAGGCTCTAACCACAGGGCTCCTGTTCAGCTTATTATACCATTTTTTCCTCATAGTAAGTAGCTCAGAACCTGAACTACCTCCATAAGTATCATGACCCCCTTCCCTAGCACTAAGAGCCACTCTTGGTGATTCTTTCTGCTTATTCAGTATTTATTAGATACCTTCTGTCTGCCAGAATTTTTTTCACTCATTTATTCAACAAGGATTGGTTTATGGAGTGCCTATTAGTTGCCCGCTGTGCCAGACTCTATGTTAGTTTACATTGAGATATATCTGGATTACAGTAAGTGGGTGGTGTGTTTTCTTTCTAAAATTTTATCTGTCTTTTGCCATAAAGATTAATGCATGGAGGAGCCACCCACCATTCTGTTCTGCACTGCCGTCTGATAAGCAGCCCCCATGGAGAATTTAACCATTATTGGGTTTTGGATTAAGGGATCTTGAAGCACTTTGCAGTGTCAGCAAAATGTCTTTGTGAGGCCTGCTCTCCCAAGTGACGTTCCAAATTCCTAGAGAAAAAGAGCCATATTGCTGTTACCCTTCTTGTTAATTGCTTCCACTGGGGACTAGGACAGAGCAGAATCATATGGAGAGTGTCTGAGCCTGCTAATTTGGAAGATACTAATCTGCAAACCCTTTAATTCTCACAGAAACCCAGGTAGTCTCACCCTCCTTAATAGAGATGTAATTCAGGAGACCTGCAGAGAGGGTGCTGACATATATATTAGAATGCTATGAAGTAGAAGCAAATATTAAACCTAAACAGCAGTTGTCATAGGAAGAGAACAAAGTAAATTGGGTAATTTTAATTGCCTTATGGGAGTTTCTATTTTTCTGATTTTTCTGTTTAGTTGAAAGGGTACATCTGTACTGTGAATTAGCATGGTGTTGTGGTTGGATTGGGAGGGACAGGGACCCATTTTATAAATTATTTCAACAACTTAGGGCTGTGGCTGTGACTCAGTGGTAGAGTGCTTGCCTAGCATGTGTGAGGCACTGGGTTGGATCCTCAACACCACATATAAATAAATGAATAAAATAAAGCTCCATTCATATAAAAATATTTTAAAAAGTAATTAAAAAAAAAAAAGACTGTGTCTTGTTAAGTTGCCCAGACTGGCTTTGGACTTGTGATCCTCTGGCCTCAGCCTCCCAAATTGCCGGGATTACAGGTGTGGGCCACCAGGTGTGCACCAGAAGCCTGGTAGTTTTCACCATTTTTCAGCAACTATTTTCATTTCTCTATATTGTAGTCTAGTCTTTCTGAGGCATTCTTATAATGAATTTTTTTTCCCAGTACTGGGAATTGAACCCAGGAGCATTCTGCCTTTGAGCTACATCTTCAGCCCTGTCTTTTCTCTTGTTTTGTTTGAGACAGGGTATCATTAAGTTGCCCAGACTGGCCTGGTGTTTTGATCCCTCCTGCCTTAGCCTCTAGGGTTGCTGGGATTACAGGTAGGCATCCTTGTGCCTGGCTTAAAAATAATTTTTGAAAATTATAATTTTACATTTTTCAGAGGACAATCCCAGACCTAAAGATGGCACTGCACCCAGCAATGCCCAGTAATGATTTGTTTTTTTATTAGAGCAAAAAACAGTTTTTATCTTCCTGGATGAGTTGTACAGAAACTAACAAGTCACTAATCATCAGGGAATATTTTCTGCTGAGATGACTCATTTTCAATTTTGAGGAAGCAGGAAAAATTAAGAAAAAATATTAGAGGGTATGTTTATGAACATTGGGTATGGATATTCTTCTAAGGAGGATGCAGAAACACAATCCATAAGTTAAATTGCATAAAGACAATGAAAAGCTTTGTTTTTTACATAAAACATATGTAACCAAGATAGGATTAAAATCAAGAAAAAATTTCATACTTTTCTTAATCTTTAAGAAAGCGATAGCTCAACTTAAGAAGTACACAAGACATAAGCAGTATTTCATAGAAGAAACATGCATTTCCAATTAAACATGAAAATGTATTCACTTTCATCAGTCATCAGAAAAATACAAATTAACCTCCCAAATTACAGTTCATAGGTAAAAAATTAATGGACAACAAGACTGATATGGGCAAAAAGTTTTGTTTTGTTCACTGCTGGATCCATAGTGCCCGGCATATGGTAGATTTATCAATAAATATTTGTTGAAAGGATGAAAAATTTAAATGTCTGATAATATTGAGTGCTGATGAAGGTATGGACCAACTCATTAATCACTCCTTCTAGAAGTATACAATTTAACCACTTTGAGAAACAGCTTGACATTTTCTGGTGAGGTTGAAGAATATGCTCATCTGAGAACCCAACAATTCTACTCATATGCAAATACCATCTTCACAGTATTATCATCTATAATTTAAAAAACTGGAAACAACCCAGATGTTTAATGACAGTGAGATAGATCAGTTGTGGCACGGTCGTACAATGGAATATTACCTCAGAGCAAAACAAGTAAACTACAACCTATCCACCTGGATGAACTTCAGAATCAATGTGTGTGTGTTGGGGGCGGGGTGGGGGGGGAAGCAAGTCACAAAAGAATTCACAGCACAGAATTCCATTTGTATAATGATCAAAAACAGTCACAGTAAAACAAAATATTATGTATGTGTATAGTAAATCTATAGAGAAAAGCAAGAAAATTATCCAAAATTTAATGCAGTCATGAATTCTAAAGGATCTTAGGGAGAAATATATTCTGGGAAACACAGCATTCAGGCATTAAAAGTAACCAGAAGGGTCTATTCTGTAAGCCAAATGGAGAGTACATCTTTTTTTTTTTTTTTTGGTGTGTGCTTGGGATCAAAGCCAGGACCTTATGTGTGCTAAGCATGCACTTTTCACTGAGCTATATCCCCAGCCCATATTATTCTGTACATGGTATCAGAATACTATATATATATATATATATATATATATATATATATATATATATATATGAGATATATTCCATAAAAAAGTTTTTTTAAGGAGAAAGATTTTAAAATGTCATTAGGACAGGTGCAGTGACACATGCCTGTAATCCCAACCTCCTGGGAATCTGACACAGGAGTAGGACAGTTCAAGGCCAGCCTGGGCAACTTAAGGAGAACTTGTCTCAAAATAAAAAAATTAAGGAATGGGTATGTAGCTCAGAGATGAGTGTTTGCCCAGCATGTAAGAGTCCCTGGGTTCAATTGCTAATATCACAAAAAAAACAAATCAATCATTAAATTATCACATGACACTACATAAATTTGTGTAACTTTTATGATTTTATTTATCAGTTAAAAATTTTTTTTAAATATTTAGTTTTTTAGTTGTAGATGGACATAATACCTTTGTTTTATTTATTCATTCATTTTTATGTGGTGCTGAGGATCGAATCCAGGGCCTCACACATGCTAGGTGAGTGCTCTACTGCTGAACCACAGTCCCCGCCCCTATCATTTAAATTTATAATTTTTTTTTGTACTGGGGATTGAACTCAAGGGTAGTTGAGGCAGGTCTTGCTAAGTTACTAAGTATGAGTATGATCCTCCTGCCTCAGCTTCCCAATTGCTGGAATTATAGGTGTGCACCAACACACCTGGCAAATCAGGAAAATAAAAGGAAAAACCTAAAACAGTTCATGACACAACAACAAAAACAACAATTAAAAAAAACCCACTTTGATCCTTGGTTTCCTGGTTTTACTTAAAATTTGATTTGAAAACTATATATCGATGGAGGAGCATAGTAGGTATATTCTTGGTTGAAGTGACTATTAAGATGCAAATGCTGGGCTGGGGTTGTAGCTCAGTGGTAGAGTGCTTGCCTAGCATGCATGGCCTCATGTTTTTATTTTTATGTGGTGTTGAGTTTGATTCTCAGCACCACATAAAAATAAAGATATTGTGTCCATCTACGATGAAAAAAAATATTAAAAAAAATGTGAATGCTGTGAATTTCTTGTTTTCTAGAAAGCACCATGACGATGCAGTCATGATGGGAGGGAGGAGCATAGCATAGTGTAGAGTTTAAGGATTTGGAGCTAGAGTGCTGGGTTAGGGCTCAGGTAGTGTCACCTGTCTGCCATGGGATTGTGGCTAACTTATTTCCTAAGCTTCAGTTTCTTCATCCACAAAACAAGGGTAATATAGTACCTGCCTGTGACAGGGGTTCCCC